CCAAGAAGGTACACCAACATCCTGCACCTTTACCGTGCACATAGCTGGTTTGAGGATCAGGGTCTCTGGTGATGCGATCAGACTGACAGACAACAGAAGCTGGTGTCCTTGTGTTCTGCACACGTGTGCGCACGCGCACACACGCACGCAGAGAACGCCATCTGGAGACGGAAGCAGGACCTGAGTGAAGCCTCTGTGATGGGGGGCTCACCACCTACCATCTTGAGACCATTCCAGCAGGTCAGAAACGTCATCTTCACACAGAGCCAGTCTCATCCCCACGTGTCCCAGGTCTGTCCCTGAGGGTAGCAAGCCCCTTCCCACCACAGCTGTCTCATCTGAGGGGGTGGTCCTGTCACATTCTCTCCCATCCAGTTCTCTGTGTTTCTTCCCTATTTTAAGGAGCTTTGGTGGCGCAGTGAGTTAAATATAAGGCTGCACACGGAACCCGTCAGCTGCCCTGGGGACAAGGACAGGTGCACTGCTCATTTGAAGACTCATTTTCAGCCTGGGAAGCGGCTCAAGGACCCATGAGTCAGAACCCACTAACAGCAGCGCTTGGTTTGGGGGCATTTTTCCCATTTTGAATTTTGCTAAGTAATTAAAAAACATCCTGCAAAGATTCAGGGTTCCCAGTCCCACACTGCTGATCACCCCAAATCTTTCCACCGGCTGGCCACTACGTGCTGACGTGGTATCATGTCCGTCCGTCCTTCCAACAAGCCTCTCCCGCCTCCCACAGCCAGGTCCCAAGCCACATGCCCCGCTCCTGGCACTTCTCAGGACAGCGCAACATCGTGGTCACCCAGACAAGGACACTTAGGGATGGGCCACAGCGTGACAAGAGGCCTAGCTGCAATGGCCATGTCCAAGGATGCCACTGCTTGGTGACGGACATCCGACAACGTCCTGCAGGCAGGGTGGGGATGAATGAAACCGTCACCATAGGTACAGCCCAGCAAAGGCTTAAAGTGCTGTGTCCAGGAAACGTCCCTAGTACTGGCCTGCCTGCCATTGGTGACAGCAGGGGACAGGTCGGTAAGAGATGCAGAGTGGACAGTGGTGACAGGACACATGTCCATCAGGTGCTGAGCGCATGGCTGTGGTCCCAGAGAGCTCACACAGCCGCATGAGATGCTGACACAGAAATGCTGATGGCAGAAAAGTAAGTGAGGGACCATGTCCCCACGGGGCCTGACCTGGAGGTGATGGTGGGGGACACATGGCTTTGTGGGGAGTTAACTGGGAGGTGACAGTGGGGACACACAACTGTGTGGGGCTCAAGGTCCTTGACACCTGTGTGCAGCCAAACGACAGGCGGACAGCACTGCGCTGGACGCTGGGCACCTGTCAGCGGCTTGGCACCTGACCACACCACGGCACCTGCGACCACACTACCTCCAGCCTGTCCTCGTCAACAGACACAGCCCTCGTGCAGCAGTCTCCCCCTCCCCCACACCCCGTGAAAGGAGCTGATGACAAGGCGTGACAACGGGTTCTCCACTTTGGAAAGCCAACTTCATTCTCTCTTCCTGAATCAGAAACAAAACATCGCTCCTCAGGGACAGGCCAGTAACAGCACACAGGGCGTGTGAGATGTTCGGGCGGTGGTGACCGGCGCAGGCCAGGCTGTGGACACGTGACACCATCAATCACTCCCCGTGTGCACAGCTAGCGGCAGAGGACTGTGAGGAGGGGAATCAGCGTCCGTCCGCGGTGACAGCGCTCCGGCAACCCTCACCGTGCCACCCTGCACACACCACTGTTCACACGTCGAAGGAGAGGCTTCTGCGACGGCGTGTACTCACTTGGTACCTGTTTTCTGGGTCAATCCTGCAGAATCTCAGGTTGTACTGTGCTTGCTGCCGTCAGCACAGCCAGAGGGCCCCTCCCCATGAGAAGTGAGGGTGAAGACCTGGTCTCGCTTTGGGCCTGTTATCAGGCTGGAGGAGGACAGCATGGTGAGTTGAGGGCAGGACTGGTGACACGAGGAAGCCCTCCATAAGATGGGCTGGCACTGTGGCTGTGGCCAGCGGGCTGAGGACAGCAGAGATCATGAATGTGGCTGGGGACCAGGCGGGGTGCGTTCTGCTGACACGGGGGCGCTCTGAATCCCAGCCGTCTCCATGGCACTGACCAACAACAGTACACAGCCTAAACCAGAGTGAAAACGTGGCTTCCATGCTCTGGAAGCCAAACCACCAAGGGATGCGGCCTGTTGGGGTACCTGCGAGGCTGGCCTGGACAGGGCCCCCCCACAGCTGGCTGGGCCAGGTATTTAAGGTGCCTGTGCTGTCACCATGGCCTCTGCACCCCGGCGGTGTCTTGAGGAGCAGTGGCAGGTAGAGGCTCCATGACCTGGCTGAGCAGCGGGGTCCGGGGAGCAGGCGCCTGTGGGTGGATGTGGTGGGCCACGTGGACTCGTTCCTGTGGGGGCTCCTGCAAGCCGGCCCCCTGCATCTGCTACTGTCTGACACCAAGTTGCTTCATCTCTCCCTCCACGGACCAAGACCCCCCAGCTCAGGAGCCTGGCACACTCAGGGGCCTCTGCCCACCACCATCCCAAAGCTGGCCCTTGTGACACAGCACCATCGCTCCCCGGCAACCAGTCATTCTTTTTAACGGTGCTTACTGAAAAGGAAAGGATGGGTGAGAGCAGAAGGCTTGAGTTGGATTCCTGAGCTACCTTTCTGAAGGCTCACGTACTCCTCTGAATATAGTTGGTATCAACTCAAATTTCCATTCCAGTTTCGCTAGTAGGACTCCCATGCTCCATGAAAACCCATGAGTCACATCGAGGGAAGCACTGAATAACCGCCGTGTGTACTTTGTCAGATTAAATCAGGACGCAATTTGTGAATACAGTCACAACTGCCTACAGATACCATGAATTATCTGATAATCTCTGCAAAGATAAAAGCAAACACCCCGGCAGTGCCCAGCTCAGGCCTGATGCACAGCGACCCTGCAGGACAGAGTGGGCCGGCCCCATGGGTCTCCAAGGTCAACGTCCCCACCAAGGTCAACGTCCCCATGGGTCTCCAAGGTCAACGTCCCCACGGGTCTCCAAGGTCAACGTCCCCACGGGTCTCCAAGGTCATCATCCTCCAGGAGCACCGAGGGGTTCCACACTCCATCACTGCACCACCAGGGCCCTGAACAGGGCTCACCTGCCCCAGGAAACTTCACTTCACACGGAGAAGAGGTAAGAACTGCAGGAGGGGCCACAAAGTCCCGTCCCCTCCACTGCCCCGCCAGACTGACAACGTGCACACACAGGAAAAGCACACAGACGCTTGGCAAGCTCCCTCCGCAGCTGTGAAATGACTGCACAATCCAATGCTTAGAGAGAAAAATAGGCGATTGCTTTTAATGATTTATGTATAAAAGAAAAATAAATCTTATGATACAATTTGATAGACTACCTCATACAAAAATGTCACTCGCTTACAATGAGTGCGACTTTCTGCTACACAAAAATCCTATTGGTGCAAAGTCACAAAAGGCAGGTATCTTGACAGAGGATGAGGGCTGGTCAGAGGAGCGTGGACACGCAGAGGCGGGCCCAGGTGCCTCTCCCCACTCTCCCACCGGGGTCGTGTGTTACAAGGCGGTGACTCGGTGGTGCCACGGTTTAGAAAGGGCCAGGCCAGGGTCTCCAAGTAGCAGGTGTTCATGTGCTATTCATGAGCTTCCTCGGATCAGAAAATCATCTTAGAGCTCAGCCAAGGGCGTGTGTGGGAGACAGCACGAACCCACAGACACGCAAACCCCCACCCAGGCAGAGCTCACCCCGGTGACATGCAGCCCCCTCACCAGCAGGGCTCACCCTAGTGACCCACACCCCCCACCCAAGGCAGGGCTCACCCCGGTGACATGCAGCCCCCTCCCCAGTCAGGGCTCACCCTAGTGACCCACAGCCCCTACCCCAGGCAGGGCTCACCCCAGTGACCCACTGGCCCCTGCCCAGGCAGGAGCTGCCCAGGTGCCCATAGCCCCCCTCCCGAGCAGGGCTCATCATGATGGCATGCAGCCCTGCCCCGGTAGCCCTCCGGGGTTTGCATCCTAAATCACACCTCTGGAGAATGTTGTCAGGACTGAAACATGAAGTCTGTCTCCAAATACAGAGACATCCTCAGACAATAACTTAGACCTTTACAATTATTTACAACCACATGTGTAAATGAAGAACAATATAAACCATGTTTTAAAAACAACAGAAACTTTGCTTAAAAACACTTCCCCCAAACAATGATAACAACAGATTTAAAAAGGCCGATGTTAAAAAAAAAAAAAAAAAAAGGCCGATGTCGGTGCCTCCCCGCTGCTTCACCGGGCTGCAGGGCTCCTGTGCAGGGAGTGGGGGGCCATGCAGGCAGGACAAGGCCTGCTCCCTCAGGGACAGGACACTCATTCAAGGGGCCCTAGGAGCCTGTACCAGGGCTTGGGGGGCCAGAGAAAAGCGTCAAAGGTCAGGAGTTTGGCCTGTGATGATGCACGTCCACACGTCCTGGAGGAAGGTGTTCCGAAGGAATCCTTGCAAATATGTGAACTTTAAAGGCCAGTCACTCCAACAGGAGCTGACAGGCCCAAGGAGAGTATTGTGTGCAGGGCACAAGGGGGGGAACAACCTGGGAAATGTCCAGGGAGGCTGGTGCGCTGGCCTCATTCTCTGTCTAAAACACCTGCATGGAAGGGGTCCTCCCTCCCTACATGACTGTGCCCCTGTGGAGGCCTGGGAGAGGGTCAGGGGCCTACGTCCCAGGTGTGGGCCTCACTTACGTGCTGGAGAGTTCTGGTACAGAACCAGACACCAAGGCTCCTTGGGCACGTGCCAGGTCCAGACCAGCCTGTGCCCGCGCGGCCCCCAGCAGGCGGCACGCAGCCCTCACCCTCCGGACGCCAGCGGCTGACAAGGCTGTAAACACACCATCCGCGGAGCAAAGCGAGACGCAGCCGCCACGGTTTCCCAGGTCCTTTATTGCTCGGGAGCCGGGTCCTCAGCGCCGCGCGCTCAGGGTAACGCCGACCAGCATCTTCTGGATCTTCTCCTCGTTCCTCAGGATGGTGGCCTTCACCGCACAGATCTTGTCCTGCTGGTCCTTAATCAGCTGCTCCAGCTCGGCCAGCTCGGCCTTCAAGGGCTCCACGGCGCTGTCGGTGACGCTGCGGGACAAGCCAGGCGCTCAGTGCCTCCCCCCTCAGGCCCTCCTCCGGGATTCAGCCCACACAGGGAAGGGGAAAACCCCGTGTCAGGTGGGTCCTGGCTCGCAGTGACCCAGGACAGAGCACACCTGCCTGCAGGTGTACAAGGTCATCGTCACCTCACAAGCAGTCTCTCCCAAGGAGCAGCCAGGGGGTTCAAACCGCTGACCTTTCACCTAGCCATCGAGCACGGAATCACTGCACTACCAGTGCCCCTTACCACGCCGTTGTTAGGTGCCGTTGAGGACAACTCCTAGTGACCTCTGAACAAGCCACCTGAGCCCGCCCTGCCTACGCTATCGTCAGCACCCTGAGATACTTGAGCACTGGCTGCAGTCAGCGTGCAACCCATCGCATTGAGAGTCTTCCTCTCTCTCTGACCCCTCCACTTTTCCAAGCACAACGTCCCTCTCCAAGTCTCTCCTAGCAACATGACCCAAGGGTGTGAGCCATTAGTTACAGCAAAAAAAGTGCAATAGCCCAGGTCCCCGTCAAGAAAAACCCAAGGCCATCAAGTTGATTGTAACCCATCAGGACCCCACAAAACAGACAGCAACAGCCCCACAGTTCCAGGCCCCCCACCCCCAGGCCCCACAGCTGCAAGCCCCACAGCTACAGGCCCCACAGCTCCAGGGCCCCCACCTGCAGGCCCCCCAGATGCAGGCACAGTCTGTGACTGTGGAGGTGACAGGTGTGGTAACCTGGGAGTCCCACACTGTCCTGCAGGGATGCTCAAGCCATAGCCAACTTGATGGCAGCCAGCGGTGGTTTTCACTTTGCATCTTTATAGACACAGATCATATGATCCTTTTCCCATAGTGACAGGTGAGCCCACCTGCAAAGCTTTCCGTTCACACCCAGGCCAGCTCCCTGTGCGCAGCCTTCTGCCCGACCAGGACAGGGAAGGGCCTGCTAGCTGGGGGGCTGGCCGCGAGAAGAGTTCAGCATGAACTTGGAACGCGGAAGTAAAAATTGACCTCGCTCTTTAGGACCCTGGTGACACAGTATGTGGTCAGGGCAGCTGACCGCAAGGCCTGTCATCAAATGACATCAAGCCTCACCACCCACTCGGCAGGAGAAAGGCAGGCAGTCACCTCCTGTTAAGATTATGCCTCAGAACGCAGTGGAGAGTGGCCATGGGTCAGAGCCCACCCAAGGGGGCAGGCTTTGCTGCTAGACTTTAAGCACACAGAATATAAAGAACAATAAATTCCAACCATCCTGACAAAAGTCAAGTCAGATTTTTGGAAACCCCTGTCCCTCGTGACTAACCTGTGTGTCCTCCAGCCCCACCCCCCATGGCTGACCTCTGCTCCTGCTGCAGAGTCCCAAGTCTTCACCTTTCATGGACAACCTCTGCTCTTAGTATAGTGTCCCCCAGTCCCCACCCCCTGTGGTTGACCTCTGCTCTTGGTGCAGGGTCCCCCAGTCCCCAATCCTCATGGCTGACCTCTGCGGCAGACCTCTGCTCCTGGTACAGCCCCCGCCCGATGGCTGACCTCTGATCCCCG